AAAACGCCTGCCATTTGAAATAAATTTTCTGTGTGAATGTATTTTAAGCTCTCATTTCTACGCACTGTTAATCTATCTCACCAGCCACTAGTTCCAAACTGCCCTTTTTGAAGCGATGAAGTAGGAAATTGCCAACTTATTCCTTGTGGAAGCCACACAAATGACTTCCGCCTCTTTTCCATAGAAAATGGATTAAATTTTTAAATGTAATAATTCGTAAATATTTACAGCCATTCCCCTAGTAATGGCTGTTTAAAAGTGAATTGTTTTCCACATTGTTGAGAAATTACAATTTAAAATTTGTGAATTTAAAAACTACGAAAATGGTGTGGATCATTCTATCGGCAATTTGCACTTTCATTCTGAATGACGTGACCTTCAGTGTAATTCGCACTTTTGTTAGTTTGCTTCCTTCCATTGACTTGTTAGTTCTCTCCGTCCATATTTTGATGCAAAAGCCAACAAAACTGTTTGCCTTATAGTCAAAAGGCGCTCGTTTCAGAACAGCCCTACACAGTGAGTGATCAATGCTGTTATTGTATTCTCGTTGGATATCTACTTATTGTGATCGATATTGACATTCAATGTCTCTTGTTGACGTTGCTAATCTCTAGTATTTTGACGTAAAAGGGGGGTGGGAATATTGACCTCAAATCAGGCATCGTGAGCAAATTAGTAATGAAATAGAATCACCTTGTCGGTTTCAAACGAATAGATGGCTCAAAGGAGAGAGTAAGAGGGACTCCAATAGCCTGACGAAGTGAAAAAGGCACAACTAATGTTGCCATTGAAAATAAAACCCCGGTAATTAACTACATGGGTCAACACGCTTTCTAAGGATAAAATAACGGTAGATGACACCGATAATTCTTACATTTTCTTCAGTAGTATCTGACACTATACGCGAATTTTCAATTTCCGCTTGAAAACTCACTCCAAGTGCATTTGCATTTGATGTTTTATCAAAGGAAATGAGTTGAATCGTTGTTAGTGAAAGCCTTCAAAGCTATAGTTTTTAAAATGCAAGGAAATGACCTACCAACATTTGGAAGTGCCTTTAGAACACCTGCCAAATCTTCCTGAGGTAATTTTAGTAAAAAGAATGAAATGCGTTCTCATTAAGATGGACAACTAATGGCAAACTCGTAACTGAAGTTTATCCTTCATAGACTCTGAAAGTGAGGTGCACGAGATAGACTCACCTCCACGTGGTGCACCCTGGGCAACGTATATTCATACCGCAAAAAGTCTATCACTCGGCATTTGACTTCAAACTATTATGATTAGCTCGAAACGAAGCTATAAGAGAATCGCTCTCTTCAGGTCGAATCACAACTTCTACAGATCCTTCAGTGGAATGCTGGAGGGATGTCACAGGACAAAAGATCCAAATCCAGAAAATCCTACATACCTATCATATAGACATATTCACAATCATGGCAGCAAACCACTTGAAATAATAATAATGACTAATAACTAATAACTAAAAAGCTTTTTTAGACCCATCGTTTATAAAACAATAGACTTAAAGGGAAATATATTTATTTTGGCAAGTTCTACTCCATAAATAACCGGTTAATTTTTAAGTTCTTAAGGAAATCAGCCTTTTGTAGATCTTTCATCGTAAATGAGCAAATAGATTGTTTCTTTGTGGAAATTAGCATAAGTAATTGCTTAATTTGGTACTTTATAGTTCCTGAATATGAAATTGAATAGTTTGGAGGTCAAAACAGCAAAGTTAGAAATTCTTCGTTCCCTCAAACGAATTTACCAATCACCTACTGTGCCCCAAAATTAAATTAAACAAATTTCATAACTTGATCTATGTTGATATCAATCGATAAATGTGAAATTTAATACTTATTTATATCAAATGGTAGGCGTTTTTGATAGTTACCATTGGCCCATTAGTTGACTTCAGGCTTCACAGAGGGGAAGGAACATCAAAGTGAAAAAAGTCGAGAATGGGGGGGGGGTAACAGAAGAGTATTTCAAAGAGGTAAAAGTGATAGACACAAAGGTTGAGAAAGGTGAAGTGTGTACTGTGGAAACAATCGAATATGACATACAGTGGGGTGATGGTAGTTTGAAGTCAGAAGTCAACTGCCAGTTAATAGACTGGAGGTAAGTCTACCGCACACTCCTAAATTTAATATTAATACGAGCGAGACATTGTAGAATATCTTCCAAGATCACATGGCCTTTCAAAAATTGTTTAATTAAAGCCAGCCAATGAATACGAATACAGTGGGCTGGCATTTGCTATAATCCAGGGAAAAATTATGAAATTTGGCTGTTTTAAGACATGAACTATTAATTTTGTCAATATTGTACAACTCCGAGTCCAAAATCAGATAAGGTAAGGCCTTTTTATATATTGGCAAGGTACCATAAGTACTATCATTTGTTGGAGTAATTTTATTCACTGCCAGTTACTTACCACAATGAAAAACGGTATATTTTGCGTTTCTATTGATATGAACAACATGTGCTATCATCAATGTACGAGTACCACCGAGGACCACCTTGAGGATATTCAAGGGAATTATGTAATGTCAGGTCTTAATTTCTTGTAAGTGTCTTGACTAAGTGGTTGACCAATCAACTAACTCAGCGCTGCCAGCCTTTGAAAAGGCTTCATCGAGTGAGGAGAAACGCCGTAGGCTTTAGAATACCAGAGTTTGAAGTGCTGAACTATGCTAGGAAAGTCCAATTCCATTATGCATACAGTTGTGTTTTCAATCTCTGAGTTCACAACGTCTCCATTATTAAAAAGTTGATGTAATTCTTTTTGGCATACCCATTGGTAACGATAGTATTTGAATATTATAATAACTGTGTAATATTCAGAGTGAGTAACAAGCAAGGCGCATTACTGAAATTAGTGCTCAACTGTGCACTTCGTTCCGTTACTGGCATCTGACTCGCTACTTTATTGTTTGCGGAAAAGATTTGATGCCCGTCAATACGTTCTTCATTTAGAAAGATTAAATAAATATTTATTTCCACTGTTAATGCTTTAGAGTAAATAGTTTGAAACGAAAATATGGAAGACAGGTGGAGTTCGCACTCATTCTGGAACGTTCTCGGACATTCTGGAGGATGTGGTGGGGGGCGTGCAGAGGATTCCTCAGTTATCAATATTCTTTCAAGTTCTGATTAGTGTAGTCAACAATTACTGATCGTGCTTGCTATGAGCCTACTTTCAATTAGCGCTATATACTCTCTATGCATCTCTTTCCTCCATATCGGTTGAGGTAGCTTAACTCATTTCTGAAGCATTTACATTACCTGGGTGATTTTGGACATAGTGATAACTGCAACATTTAAGGCATTCGCGTACTCTATCATTACTTACGGAGGCTAATTTAGTGCTAGTGATTATTGATGAGGCCAAAAAACCCTAAAGCACGTGTGTTTCCAGGGGGTTGGATCGTTGAAATGAGACTGAGAATTGTAAAAAATTTGTTCATTCCCTCCACCACTCAGACACTGCGAATAAAAGAAGGGCAGATCGCGCATTGACAACCTGGCAATGAAGAGTGGTATTTATCAGACATTGAACTTCAGAAAATGTGGATTAAAAGGCAAATGCATTTCAATATGTTACCTCAAGGTTCACATGCAATAGTTCACCTTTAGAATTGTTCAATAGTTTTGGCAGCTATTAACTTGGCAATTTCGATTATTAATCTCAGTACTATTTTCACACAATTATTTATTTGTCATCCGAACCAAAGATAAATTCTGAAGAAAAACATAAATGATCTTTCCTCTTGGGTTATTTCACGTTTCTCTCTGAGTCCATTAATCACTGTCTTGAACCCAATCTGCCAACTGTAAAGTAATTTTATCGACTTTAACCCCACCAACTTATTCTTAATTAATTATTTTTGTACTCCAACTTCATTTAAGCGTTTTATCTTATTATAAATTAATTAAAACATAGTTGATAATTAAAACAAATGCAATTTGGAAAACCTAAATTTTCATTAGGCTATATGGTTTATTTATTTATTTATTTATATCAAATGACAGGCGTTATGATAGTTATCATTAGCCCTTTAGTTGGCTTCAAGCTTCACAGAGGGGAAGGAACATCAACTTGAAAAAAAGTCGAGAGGGGGGGGGGGGGGGAGGGAAGAGAAGAGTGTTTCAAAGATGTAAAAGAGATAGACGGACTCAAAGGTAGAAAATTGGTGAGGTGAGTACTGTGGAAGTAGTGGAATGTGACATATAGTGGGGTGGTGGTAGTTTGAAGTGAGAAGTCAACTGCCACTTAATAGGGTGAGTCTATCGCGCACCCTTGGGCCATATGATTGAACCAGTCATGCCTTCATGGGAACATATTTTTGTAAAATTTCGATTCCTTCTTAATAACACCACTTAATCGAGGAAATTAAAATAATTTTTCATACACAAAATTGAATACAGAACGTTAGGGTTATAGTAGAATGATTGGCGAAGAAAGTGTTTTAAAAATGTCAAATGTTTGATATCTTTAGAAATTTGAAGGGCACACACTAAAGTATCATTCTTCCTTTCCGAAAGTCTTGAATTCAATTATGAATTAACCTATTCATTTTCAATTCATTGAAAAGTAAATAAATCGTTGAGGTATCATTTCCAACTTAATTGTTATTGTGCTTTAACCTTTGAAAAAGCCTTATATTTGCCTTCTTCCTATTACCAGAACGCCTAAATAACTGTATAATAAAAGGACACAAAATTGCTCAAAATAAAATTTTTTGATTGATCTTATTACTCTTTCCTTAATTTATTATATTATACATATTATATATTATATAAAATATAATTAAATGCGATATCAATGTAGTAAGTCGAAAGTGCGTTTATTTTCCAGGAACGCTTTAACCAACATGATTAAAACAGTAAATCCTCTATTTTTTTTTAAATTTTATTCACCCAACCTAATATTTTCTTAGATGCCAGAAAACAATAAAATATATACAGTGATAAATTAAATTATGATTGTTTAGTTAAGAAGAAGCCTTTGATACGTTCACTATACCACTTAGATGAGTTAATGGCTGATGGGAAGAACTGGAGGGATTTTCACGAATTTGAGTAGAATTTGAATCGGAATTCGACGTGGAGCCAAGAGGCATTGAACCATGGGCGTAAAGTCGAACACCCTGTTGAAAAACAGGTCTGCTTCCAGCTCCTGAATTTACTCTGTACATCCGTCGCAGAACTGAGCGTCGTTCGATCTTTGGAACGTCATTCCTAAAATGGAAATGCCAAAGGTGATCCTCCAAGGATGAAAAAACGCCTGATCAACTTTTATTTATTATTATTATTATTATTCAGAGCATTAAAGAAGTTTGCGATTTTTAATTTTGGGAAACAACTCGAATTGAAGAATAATATGACTATTTGGTTTTACTAAAATGGAAATTCAAGTTCAAGGGCTTGAATCTCCTTATTCGTCAACGATGTTCACTGTTTGTTTACCGGTTGGCCTGACAACTTGCCTTCGTAATTCCTTCCAGTGTTTAAACAAACAACATTTTTTCCTTGATCCATAACCAAGGGTTTTTAATTTTTCTTCAATGCATGTATGCGACACATTGAGCTTCTCTGCAATATCTCGTGTTGTGCTGTGACGATTTGAATCGATAATGGCCTCGATATGGGTTTCATCCACTTCGACTGGGCGGCCAGATCGTTGTGAATTTTTCAGTGAAAAATCACCGGAACGAAATCTGTCAAACCAATTTCGACACTGCCTTTCTTCCTCACGGCTTCATCTCCATATACGGCACATAACTTCTTTTGTGCTTGCGATGCGTTCTTGCCTTTTCGGAAGTAATACAATAAAATGTGTCGGAAGTGCACGTCCTGTTCTTTCATTTTTAAATTGGGATAAAAACAAAACTAAAGAACTAAACAATAAAAAAATTTTTGCTAATTAACCTAGAAGCCCATACAGTAAGAAAAAAATATAGGTTAGATGCTCTGGCCACGTTAACAAAACAAAAGAAAGTATAGAGTGAATCCGTCAACAAAAATGGCAATGACTTAGTTGCCAACCCAATAATTTTAGAGGAGTGTTTTCCGGTGGTGTCTATTCTTGCTCTCTAGTAACTAATGAGAGCTGAGAGCGTAGTATACTTCATTAATTGAAAGCTGATAAATGGGACATTGTCTGGTGCTATTATGACAATAATTCTATCCGCATTTCTTAATAATGATGGAGGATTTAATTCCTTAAGAACGTTGCGACATTGTCTAATTAGCGACAATCCGACATGACGTAACATTAAACTATAATCGCCCTCCTCGCAGTATACAATCCTATGTTCAGAAATGCCGACAGTTTTATACAAATGTTCTTATTTTCCCACTTTTGATGGTTAAATGCTTTGTTGTTAACCTAATTTCTTAATACAGGACAATAACCATTTTTTTCGAAAAATGATTGTTAAGCATTTTAGTCAATGGATTGAATGCACATAAATTTTTCATTACCGCAAGTCATTAAGATTGTTGTAATTAATCACTACTTGACAAGCTCAAATATCTACATATATACCTAAACACCATGTCTCATTTTATTTTAATTTACTAATGACTTTCAACACAGTATTTGGCAGGTTTTATTTTTCTAAGTTGCATTAAAATATATATTGTAACATTTACTACAATTTTTTGGCAAATTGATATCCGATCCAGATTCCTTACCTCAATGCTGACTTAATTTTTGTCAATAGTATTGATATCAAAACAAAAAATTCGCCTAAAGAATTTGACCTCATCTAAATTCACTTAACGGGCAAAGTTCAATTATTTATGATCTAATGATCCTGAATTAAAATTTCAGGCTTTTCCCCTTGAGTTCTCGAGGCGATTTGTGCCTGATTTATTCAAATCTACTTGACTGAATTATAAATTTAGGTGGGTTTCAAAATTTCCCATAATAACCATCCCAATCTTGACCATGAATTTTGAGAAGCCTCTTTGTTAAATTTCACCAACCGATCATTACACTATTCACTCAGTGAGAAAATGAAAACTCAATGCTCAAAAAATCTCTCCCCACTTCCTCTTGATCCTATCTTTTTGCATAACTACATTCGGTTAGCAAATACTCTTTTCTAATAGCCAAAATTACAGTATGGAAGTATTAACAGTACAGTGGTCGGCGAAATCTGCCGAAGCTGACCTAACTCCATTCACGTCTCCTCTTTTGAAGTCCTCTATTAGCTTCGCGTCATATTAGGATTGATATTTTGCATATCCAGGCACCTAACCACGATTCAAACTTACAATTTTCTTCACTGCTACAAAAAATCGATAGTAAAAGAACCCCCCCCCCCCCCCCCCCATCCCTTCCCTCCCCCCCCCCTATCACTTAAAATCCAGACACAATGCAAACAATATTGTTAAAAAAGCAGAATGCTATCAAATAAAGAGAAAATATATTGAGAGATCTTACGTAGGAAACAACCTGGTCTTCAAAAAGGACAGTCAACGCACAAGAATTATATTTTCATTCATTCATAAATGATTAATTCAACACTTTAAATCACGTGAATTTGGTGACATATATTTGTAAGTAATTTAATTATATAGCTAATTAATTCGACTAATTTAATTACTTTATTAGGGAAAAACATTTGTAATGGGTTTTTTTCATACAAATAATTGAGAATTTTTATGTTTTTCTATTCTATTCAATTCATTTTTTTATAGAATTTTGAAATTCAACTTATAATTTAAAAACTTTGAACCAGATTTTAAGTCTCCTCCTTTAAGTTTCACAATATTTTTTCCGAGTTAATTCAAGTGTTTCAAACTTCCATATTTTGATAACTGCTTAAATGACTGGCGGTGCTAAAATTTCATTTTAAAGTTCATTTGGCAATGAAACTCATTTACGAAATCAGGGGTCACAGGCTCAATGCCCATCGAAGGTCACCCATTAACTCGCGAAGTCTAGCCACACGGTTGTTGGGAAAGGAGAGACAGTGCTACCATTTTTCCGTCTTCCAAACACAATGCATGGGCGTATTCGATTACTTTCTTGCAAATATATAGATGCAAAATGGAAATGTCGTTTGTAATTTGAAATTTGATAATAATTAGTATCCGTTTAAACCATTTTGCGAATACACTCCCTTAACTTGTATTTCCATTTTATATCACTCAAACCGCTTATTTGTTACCTGAAATAGCTACTAATCTTATTATGATTGAATCAGTAATACAATATTCGAAATTAGGTCTTTTGTGGAATAGTTTGCCTTAATGAAATGGTACACACAGATTTCAATGTGTTCTTTCATGGCCAAGATTTTTAAAAGTACACTAACTTTCCCATGTTTTAACTTAAATAAAATTGGTCCATTCAAACATAGCATCATTCGCTTGAATATGTTTGTTGATTCGCTGGAGGGACTTCATCTTGCTTCATGCATATCGCTCGATTAACAATTTCATTTATCCTATATTTACATTAGTATTTTTTATGTTATGCGCGATAGACATACCTCCCCGTAATTCATCCTGGGTAATGTATATTAATATAGCAAAAAAGTCTATAAACTGGCAGTTGACTTCTGACTTCAAACTACCATCACCCCACTGTATGTCATATTCCACCACCTCGCCTTGATTTTTTCGCTACCTTTGTATCTGTCTCTCTTGCATCTATGAATCACTCTTTTGTTCCCACTCTCTAATTTTTGTGACTTTGATGTTCCTCCTCAACTCTGTGAAGCCCGAAGTCCACTAAAGGGATAATGATAACGATCAAAAGGCCTGCCATTTGTACTCCACATCCAGTGAAAGTTATACGTTTGCCACCATTTCTATCTTATTTCAAGGACATTAATTCAAATTTGAATCAAAGTTGGTTTATAGCAAAGGATACAGACTTAGTGCGAAACAAATTATTATCGGCCCTCACTGAGCTGACTAATTTTTAGAAATCATTGGTGTAAAGGCAGACAGCAACACATTTACAGGCAATCGAAGAATCGTTCCCTCATTTGTCTGTCGCTTCTTCTAATTAATTAGTAGAAATCACTTTGAATGAACACTTCTCTATTGCTACAGAGAAAAGGGACGATATCGCACAATAATTGGAACCTTTTAAATTCAAATTTACGCATTTTACCACTTTTAAAATGACGAAATGGACGCCTATTAAAATGACTTCCGAAAGTGAACTCTCTCTCTTGCACTTGGATACTAAATTCCAGTACATTTTCTCACGTTCACCTTCAGTGACCAATTCCAATTCATGAGGATTTCAATAGAGACTAAAGTGTTACCTATACTTGTCTAGACAGCTGAATTTCCAGACAGAGGTCTGTTTAGATCAAATCGAACAAATTTTAATACAACTTTTATACTGGTTGAAACTTTAATTACAGCATTTTTGAAGGGGTTCTTTTGGGTGATAATTAGGTTTGCAACAACCAAAGCAAGTAACCTTACCGGAATCCTAAAAACTGATGGAAATAATTTTTTTGAATAAAACTAAGGTCAGATTTAGTCGTAGCCTAATTAAGTAGAAACCGAGCCTACCTGAAAAGACGGGAAAAAGTTATTTTTTTTGCATCCATATGCCGAGCGACTTATTTTTAGACTTATTAGTCAAGCTCTTTTTATCTTTAACAATATTGGTAATATAGAATTGTGCGGACCATATGTTTAATTCCACCAAATAGTCTGCCATGTTTGAAGAATTTCGGGGAATACCTCCATAAACCATAACACCAGAAATATTTAATACTTAGTCATATATTTTCGTCTGCATCAATCTACATTAGCGCAAAACTTGTATTTTGTTCCTGAAATTTGTTTAAGTATACTTGCGTTCCACATTCAAACATGCTTATAGATAAAAGATTTAAATGCAAACGTTTTTTCCCCAATCTATGGGAGAATAATCTTGAAGAATGAACAAAGTTGGATTAAAATAAATTTCAACGAATTGAAAAAAAAATACAAACCATCCACTTCAAAGCATATGAATGGGGGGGGGGGGGGGAAACTTGAAAACGAGGAAACATTTCAATTGTTAAAAAATAATTTGTATAAAATGGTATACGATGAAATCATGTAAAAGAGGGTTTTAAAGCCGTACAGATTCGGCACATTTTATACTGATCAAGTTGGACTGTTAAAATGCGGTATCATAAGCCTAATCCATGAACTCTCAAATGGAAGGAAT